GCTCCTCAAAGTGTAAGCAGTCAACCTTGATTACACATGATCTCTTACAGATGTGTTGGAATGACAGACATCCACAACCACTAGCACCAGGGCATCCTCTCCACTGGGCAGTTCCACTAGTGCCACAGGCGCTGCTGTCAGCAACTCGAGTTTGGATCAGTGGTGCATGCGGTGACACATCTTGTGTGGGCTCCAAGCACCAGGAGAGACCTGGGACCTGCACTTCCACACAAGGTATGTTCCCTAGCTGTCATCTTTACATTCATGACTTTGGAGGGTGTTGTGTAGGATGTGTTGGGTGATGGGTGTAAAGTGCCAGGGTGATTTGGGCAGTGGGGTAAAGTGCCACAGGTAAGGTCATTTGTCAAAATTCAGAGCATGCTAACAGGAGCTGTCAGCCTCCTCAGTTTGAGGTTGCACTCTCTCCTTAATTTGAGGTGGCACTCTCGGATCCCCTCGAGGGATGCAGATACTCGCAATGCAGACGTTCAGCAATGGTGCAAAAGTTATGTTGCACAACACAGCAAAAGTTGTACCTTTCAAAGAATGGTTATTGTTCACTCACATCTGTTTGATTTTCCAGTTCTCCTTGCTACCCCACTCCCGAGGAAAATTAGGAAGACCAACGGGGCTGCCGATGTCAGAACCAATCACATCATGAAGAGCCTGAGCAAATGCACAGAATGGATCAAGGAACTCGAAGTTTGCCAGTCTGTGGGCAGTGTCACTGGGGCGCGTCATGAGATCAAGCAAGAAGCACAAAGAAGTCATACACCAAACCGACAGGATGTACTTCCAGGGGCAAAGGTGGGGACTTCCAGTGGCAAAGGGTAGGGCTTAGGGGGCGAGGCTTCCAGCCACAGGATGGTGACCAGGGGGTGGGGCAACTGTCAAGGGGCGGGGCTGCCCATGCCGCCCTTGACAGCTCACCAAAATTCATGAAGCGGCCCTCCAGCTGTTCCTCCTGGGAAAGCTTTGGATATGTGGTCCTTGTGGGGTGGGGATGTGAGGCAGGGGCGGGGGTGTAGTATAAGTGGGGACTTTCTACGTTTTCAGGGTTGGTGTGTCTTCTGAGGTACTTAGGGGAATAATTGTACATTCAATTAATAATTCTGATTATACTCTAATTAAACAAAATTAATAACTAATTACACTGTAATTAAACTGAATTAACAGCTCTAATTAAAATCCAGTTGAACTCTAATCATAACGCCAATGAACACATTTGTGATTTTAGACTTGTTTGTCTGGGTGACAAAGTTGGGGACTTTCTAAGTTTTCAGTCCTGGTATGTCTTCTGAGGTACTTAGGAGAAAACTTCAGAAGAAATAATAAGGTCGATATTCTTGTGAGTGGCAGACAACGTGGAAAGATCATATTTGTCAAGATCTAAAGAGTATTCTACAGATGTTTTTAACAGAGAAGTATGTGCGACTGTATTCACCTTTTCATTACCCTTACAAGCTGCTCCCTCCTCTCTTGTCTGTAGACCCTCTGCAGAGTCACCCCTGGCCCTGCAAGGACCCCTCTGCAGTGCACGCTACAGTGGAGTGAATGGAACGCGCCCCATTCTGGATGCACTTGTTTGCTTCCTCCCCTATGATTAATAGGGCGTTCTCACATGTTTGGGGCTCAGGGCCAAACCTGCTGAGGGTTTTCCCAGTGTTTTCCCCGCCTGCCCCTGCCCTGTCTTCAATTAGCTGAACTTGTTTACTTTGAAAATCTTGTAACGACTGCTTTTTATGTAACTTATGGTGAATAAATCATCAAAATTTAAAGATTCATAAAGAATTAATCTCTCTCCTTTTCTTTCGTCTATGATATCAGCAATTGCAATTATTTTTGAAATAGAAAGAAAGATCCTTTAACCAGTACTGGGAAACCCAAGGAATCCCCAAACAGGTATAACATGGGGCAGGGGGGTGGGGGGCGGGAGTAGAGTAAGACTCCTTGGGGCTTAGTGTCAAGGGGAGCTCTTATGCCAATGCGGGAACTGCCTAGGGAAACACCAGGGACACCCTGAAACTAGCACCCAAGCAGGGATGACAGACAAGGCGTGAAGCCCGTGGGGTGCAACCCCCCTTGGCTAGCCCTTGGCAGTGCCGTGGGGTGGCAAAGCATGCATGGCCGTGCAGGGTCAGTGCTGTCAAAGAGGCGGGGGGGAAGGGGAGAAGGCAAGAAAGACCCAGGGACTAGGCTTGGCAATGATTTGCTAGCCAGCCATGGCAGGGTGCACCCTTTGGGGGGGGCCTACCTTTGCCTTCTATCACTTGGGGAACTGTTGGGGTGGCCAGGGGAGCCCCTAATTCGAAGACAGAAAGAAATTGTTGGCTCCTGGGCAAAGCAACTTTGGATGCTTGCAGAGAAAGCTGGGATGGATGCTAGGAGGACCTTGGGGACCAGGTGAACAAAGGTAGAGTGTTTCTTTGAGGAAACATGAAAGGCTGGCTTGCCCAGCCCTCACCTATAGCTTGGAGGGAAACCCAGGGATCCCTGAATTTGCAGACTATTAAAGAGTGTGCAGTGCTGGGCATAGTCCACTGTCAGGCATCTGGGGCCCAGAAAAGCATTGTTGAAGGGTGGCAAAGCGTGCAGGGCCATGCGCGGCCTGCGCTGCCATGAGGGCAGCTGGTCAAGCAGCCAACATTGTAGGGACCACATGGGACACCCTAACTCAGTGAGGGAAAAAGGTCATCTAGTGCTGAAAGAACCGTTTTTTTTTTTTGCTTTCAAAGAGGCACTTGGCAAAAAATTAGTGAATCAATAAATCACTAGTGAATCACTAAGAGGAGAGTAGACCCTGGGTTGCACTGTCCTTGTTAGAGAGGATACATGTTCACGGACCCAGACAATAACTGTGGGAGCACTGTAGGGGCACGTAATCTCAGGCTGGATAGGGGAACCAGGGAGGGCCCCCTTAACTGGCATCACAAGCATGGGTGTTACTGAGGGTGACAGCCACCTTGGGGCCTTTTGACAAAGTATTCCATGGACCTTTTGTGCCTTTGAATCAGAGCATTTCTCACCTCACAGGTCTTTAAGGAAAAGTCACTGATCACTAGCTGTTATCCCTTGAGAAAGGCAGAGCAGGACACCATGCATAAATTATCATAAAGCCTGCATAATAACACCATGGAAAACAAGAACCGAACAAGCAGCAGCCCACCCACAGAACCACCCAGCCATGCCATGGCTTCCAACACAGGTAGGAGCGCAGGGTGGACAATTTGGTCAAACTTCCTCCAACACCACATTCACCCAAGCCATCTCATGAACAGAATGCATTTGCCACTGCCACAGACATGGTCACCCACTCCTCCACTGGTAATCATTCAAAGAGTGATAAAGCTGACATCACCCACAATGGTTATAGTCAATACTCCCACTGTGTACGTGGTCCCACACTGTCCACCCCTTGACAGCACTGCACGAGTTCAAATCTCCTGACTAAGAGCCTCTGTTTTGGGACCAATACCAAGAGGCAGAGGACATAGGTAAGTTTCCTGATTGTGGGGTACTTTTCAAGTCTTAAAAGTACAATACTATCAATTAGGACAGTGATTGATTAGGTAGGAATTTAATATTAAAGAATTGTGGAAATCTCAATTATGCAATAATTTTGCATAAGAAGAAAGCAAAATTCCTTTCGTTCTTCCTTTCTTTCACAGAAAGCAGCAGCACAGTACTACTCAGGAGGCATTGTCACAATTTCCACATTCTACTTTTGACAGAAGTGAAAACAATGATCTCGTTATTGAATGTGTGACTATTGTTTTGTGGTTGATTATTTAGTGACCATTGTTGTTTGTTTGTTTGTTTGTATGTTTGTTTGTTGTAACTTAAAATTCTGTAAATAAAAGGTTTGGTACTGTACAGTTGTGTGTGCTGCAAATCTGAACACCCTTTGGTGCTGGTGCAATGGTGCATTTCAAGAGAGGATTTCAAGAGTTGTGGGTAGGGGAGGGCAACATGGGTGGATCAGCAGTTTGTGGGTTTACAAAGGACTGATTGAAAGTGCGGAGGCCAGACAAGAAGTGCAGACAAATGCTTTGGGCTGGGGCTAGGGCTGGGGATGAGAAGCATGGGGAGTGGGGAGAGGAGGGTCTTGTCTCCTGCTGAGACCTTGTTGGTCCCCTGGGTGGGCACCTTCCAAAGTCCCCTGGGTGCCCTAGTGCTGTGAGCTTCCCCCAACAGTGCCCTGAACTGGTTGGGGGGGGAATGAGGGTCTTGTCTCCTGCTGGGACCTTGGTAGTCCCCTGAGTAGGCACCCCACAAAGTCCCCTGAGTGCCCCAGTGCTGTGAGCTTCCCCCAACAGTGCCCTGAACCAGTGCGGGGGAGGGTCTTGTCTCCTTCTGGGACCTTGATGCTCCCATGAATGCCCCTCAAAGTCCCGTCAGTGCCCCAACGTTGTGTGCCAACAGGAAATGTACTAACTGGAAAAGGTTTCAGTCCAACAGTTGGACTGAAATTAACCTGATTCTTGAACTGCCTGATCCATAACAATTTTGATCCTTTCCACCTGGTGTGTAATGGCCGCATTGCAACAGAAGTTGCATGGATTTGTCAGCGAACCTAAGTGGCACCTGGTGGACAAATCGTGGTAGAACTGGGAAAATGGTGGTTTTGCCTGTGTGTGAGAATACATGTTACGAAACTATCATGATAAAAATAATCCTGCTGGAACAACTGGCCAAAGTAATTCTCTTTGCTAAAGTAATTGAGTGACCCAGTGTGAGTAAAATCATCAACTGGCCCTTGTCTTAAGCCACCTGGAGATTATTCAGTGTCATCCAGAAAGAAAGTCCAGAACCAAGTGAAACCCACTCGGGATATCATCAGTGCCAGGCTGGATTAAATGACCATTTCTTTCACCTTTTCCAAAAACAGCATGTGTGTTTCTGGATGATAATTGTTAAGCATCTTAGCATTCAGTTTATCCCTGTAGGATTAAATAGATCTCTATCAATACATCTGTTCTACTAAGTTCTGGTGCCAAACAGTGCCATTATGAGACCTCCCATGTTGAACCATACGCAGTGCAGCTAATGTCTGCCAATACGCTTAGCCTCTTACCTTACTGTAGAAACTCCCTTAATGGAATAGGGCGTGTTGACATACCATCCACCAACCAAATGGATACTGCTTGGTGAATCTTCTTGCTGTAACAGGAGGCTACCTGGCAACTGCAGAGATATGTGGGATACAAAGAATAATCTGACTGCCTCCTGAGAAGTCTGCTTGGTGCATAGGATACTTGCTGGCCAGAGGAGCTCCACCCAGCTGGCAAGAGTCTCTGGTTTGTGAGTTGAGGGGAAAGAGGAGGGGGAGAAGAAACTAATGGAGAGAAGGGTAGTTAATAGAGCTACTTGCTGTGGTAGGGCACTGTTGTTGCCTGCCACTTTAAGGGCAGTCGGGCAGCTGCCAGGTGCCTGATGGCAGCAGCCATTTTGGGAGCCTGCTGCCAGAGTAGGTGAGACCATTGCTTAGCTGAGCTGCAGCAGAAACAACCCAGGAGGTAAGGGCAAGAGCTGATGGGGATGGCTAGGAGGCTCTCAGTCCTGGGCATGACTTAAAACTGTACCCTGCCAGGAGTGGGTGGCCTGGTGGGGCTCCCAGAGGTGTGGGAGCCCCCAGGAAATACCAGGCCAGTTACCACCTGGGTGAAAGGCAGGTCAGAGCGCCTTAATAACCCCAGCCCCCACATCCCTGGTGGCGAGATCAAGCAAGGGGGGCCCAGGCTCACAGTAGAGCACTGAGGCAGGGCCCAGGTTGGTGGAGGGACCTGTGGAGGTGCCCAGACTCTGCGGTGGAGGTCTCAGGCTGCATATAGGAGCCAGTGTGAAGGTCCAGGGGGGTGGGACCCTGAGCATTGGGGAGCTATTAAGGAAGCTCCCAGGGCCAGGGATAAGGGGATTGCCCAGAGAGGGCTTGGGGAAGGACTTGGAGCCCTGATCCCAGAGGAGGGCTTGGAGCCCCAAGGGTGTGGAAGGGGTTGGAGCCCAGTGTATGTTGTTTTGTGTGTGTGTGTGGATAGAGTAAACCCAGTGTGAGGATGCTGGGACCAGGAGCGATCGTGGGGAGTCAGAGTTCCGGTGAGACTCCGGCGCTCGGGTCCCAGTGCTAGGTAGTTGGAGGGAACACCTGCGAGGCTTGGGCTGCAGTATAGGGGAGGAACAGAACCGCAGATGGAGCCCTCCGGCATTGGGGTGGAAAAATGGGCAGCTTCCTGCCAGTGTAATATCTAATAATTTTCCAACAAGGCATGGCAAGAGAGAGAGGTGGGCGGTTAGCCCAGAAACAGGTGGGCAGGCTAACATCTGACCAGCCCCAGGAAGGCCTACTTGTTACACTTGCCATGCTATGGGATCAGGAGCTTCAGTGCTGTGTCAGAGACCTAGGAGATGTTACCTTCACCATGTTCTTTTTATCAGCCTGCTGGTCCTTGATCTCTCCGTTGCTCCTTTCCCCACCCCACAGTGTTCCTCCTGTGAGTCCTGCTCCTCCCAGCTCCCTTGGGCTGATGTAACATCTGTTGGCAGACTTCAAGCTCTCCAGGGCCAAGATGGTGTCTTTTCTGCCCCAGTAAGTTCCTAGCATGCACTTTATGTGCTAAATAAATAATAACCACTCAGCTGAGGCCTCCAGACTGTATGTCTCCATTGCTGGCAAGGAGGGAAAATCTAGACAAAGAAGGTTTAGGCTGCTTGAAATAGTGCAACAGGTGGATGGATATGGCAGCACAGCAGGGTTCTACCACTTGGAAATCCTCCAAGGAGCATGAACAAGGAAAAGGGGATATTATGAGAATAATCTGATAGGAAAGACAAGTAGAGAAGATAAAATAACTTGGAGACCCCAAAACTCTAGCTGGAGGCAACCATCAATGCAGCTGCAGGAATACTGGCTGAGAGGCCCTGAGCTCAACAACTCTTCCACCATCAGGGCACTGTATGCTGCCTGTACAATGACCTTCCTAAAGTGATGTGAGTCATCCAAAGAGTATATGTTTGGCCAAAATGAAGCGGCTGTCACTGCTTTATTTAGGCTGCTTCATTTTCCTCATAAATATTTTGTGTCTTATTTTAGAATTCTGCTATCTCCGTGGTTTGCAACATGACTTAAATTCAGCAAGGCTATGGTTGGGGGACAACAAGGGGACTTCTGCTGTCCCCTATAAATCCAGTCATATTTGCCCAAATGATAAACTGTCATAAATGACCATCATCTGCTTTGCTCAGAACAACATGTTCCTGTCTTATTGATTAACACCCCCACCCCCAAGATTTTATTAGCAGTGAGCATGCTTTGCTCCACTGCCTCCCTTCAGGATGGCAAAGACAGTAGCCTCTGTGAGGGCCCTTTGTGGCCCGTTTCTGCCAGGAAAATGCTCTGGTCCAAGGACAGATGCACTACATAATGAAAAAAAGCAGTTCTAGCTTTGTTGAGACATTCAAATTGTGTTAATAATTTTGTGACTCTCCCATAGTCCACAAAGGAAGTGAATGAAAGGGAGATTCCAGGTGAGATGGGATAAGCACAACAAAGACCAGATGGAATAACCACAACCATGCAATACACACACACTTTCTCTCAGGACCTGGACACACACACACATCTTTTAGAAAACTAACTAACTTTATAAAGATTCCACTACCTCTCCTCACACCCCGTTACGCTCACAGCTACCCTCACATTTTATTTTAAGGCTGAGTTTGTCTAACTTCAGTTTCTAGACACTGTATATTTGCTTACATCCTTGTCAACATCTATTTCCATAGATGGAAGTGCTGGCATAAATGTGTCAGATTTCTAAGCAGTGTCAGCTAGAGCCACTCTGAGTAGAATCACATAACACATTGGCTAACAGGCTGGCAGTCAGTCTAAAGCAACCCTCCCATTTTCAGACTCATGAAGCTGCACTGATCCTAGTGGCACTGGAACTGCCCTTCTGGAAAACGACGGGAGAAACCAGGGAGGAAAATGTTCTTCTGTGACTGTGCAATGACAATGTTACAAAAGGCAACCTGATGTGAGATGGCATTTTGCACTTGGCTATTTTAATTTCCTTGGGGATTGTGAAAACTCATGAAATTTTAAGTTATGAATGCACAGTTTGGGGAAAAAGAAGTTTTGTTAAGGATTCAGTCTCCTGCCTTTTCATGTAATAGGAAGCTCCCAATAGGTAGGTGCTGTGGGAGCCACCAACAAAACTTGACAGCTATACAGCTGGTGTTCATAATGTGCAATAGGTGAAAACAGGTTCCCTCACCAAGGACACAGCCCATTACTTTATATTTCAGTGCAGGCCACTGGCCAGTGAGCCCCTCCCCTGGGGTTTCTAGGACATTCAAAGTGTTTGTGCTTCTCAGTGGAGCTTTTGTATAAAATCGCAGGCAAAACATGGATTCCAGCCTGCTCTTTGAGTAGGTCTTTGTCTAGCTCTTCTATCTGCCAGGCACCCTACTGTGTAAGTGTTTGAACATCTCTTCCAAATACACATGCTTTCAGGGACACAGCCCTGGGTTGCAGCCAGCACAGTGCAGGATCTGTTTCCCTGATTCAGAGTCATTTCCACAGGGACTGTCAGAGGTTTGAGGAGAATGTCTACAGAAAACTAGCAGCCTTCCTGCTACCCTCCCCAACACACACTTCCCAAAGCTGAACATGTTGTATTTTATCTCTATGCCCATGTTATGAGGGGCAGACCAGGCTGTGCTCCTGGCTAGGAGCCTTGCATGACCTGGTGTTCCATTAATGCAGACAAAGAAATGTGTGAAACAGGTCAGCTCCAGGCTAGTGTTTGTGCCAGTCTGTCCAGCTGGATGAGCTTGTACCTGAACACTGAAAGCCATGTTTATATACAACCTGTGCACATCACCACAGACATGGGGGTGGAGGGACTATGAACTAGGGGACAGGAACCAAACTGGGGAATGGCAACCTGTGACCCTAAGATGAGTTCCTGGGACAGCAGAACTTCACTATCAGCATGGCCTAGCTGTCCCCGGGAGAGAACTGCACAAGGACACAGCTTTATCAAACAATCTGGAGAGGCTGCCCTTCTGTCAGGGGAAAAATGCTGTGCACACTGGATGAACATAAAATGTCTCCTTTAGAGTGGCCATTTCTTGAGTATGTGATATCTGTAGGATTCACTGTAAAGATGTCTTACTGATGGCACTGCTGGCTCTGGAGGCTTTGATGGGGTTGGTGTTTATTGATCACCAGTCATTCATTGATGGGGGGGAGTATTGGGGGACCAGGTGCCTCCATGCCAATGCTCAACAGCCTAGGGGCTGCCAAACGGCAAACAGAGCAAGAGTAGCGCAGGGCCAGGGAGAGCAAAGGTCAGTCCTTGTCAGTATAGCACAGGGGCGGGCAATTATTTCAGCTGGAGGGCTACTTCACGTGTTTTGGTGAGCTGTCGAGGGCCACATGGGTAGCCCCGCCCCTTGATAGTTGCCCCACCCCCTGGTCGCCATCTTGTGACCGGAAGCCCCACCCCCTAACCCCTACTCTTTGCCACGAGAAGTCCCTCCCTTTGCCCCGGAAGTATTCCTTTTGGGAGGGGGTAGCATGGCCTTGGAACTGGGAGTTACGCTCTGTCACGGTCTGTGTCAGGGCTAGGCAACGTTTTTTGGCTGGATTGTTGAAAAATCCACAGTGTCTACCTTCTAAGGTGCGGGAGCGCCGGCATGCCAAAAAAACAGAACTGGGGTGGGGGGCATATGGCAGGATGCACTGCATATTAATATAGTTAATAATCATAACCGTTGCTTTTTTATGGTAAATACCAGGTTTTCTAAAAATTCTAAACCTGGTGACAATAAATAAAATTTCATAGAGGGAAGAGGGAGAGAAGGGAGAAAGAAGAGGGAGGGAAGAAGGAGGGAGAGGGAAAG